ACGTAGTGAGAAACAGCATTAGATTCATCTCCGGGCTTTGAGAGGTGACTTACAGCTGGGATTGTGACGGCGAGGTCCACCTTAATGTTAGGCTTAATGCAGGTTCCCAGTGGGTAGCTCCCAATCAGATCAATGGAAGCAGGAGGTGCCATGTGGAATTTGCCCTTTGTTGTTTTGGGCACCAGAAGAAAAGGAACCTTAACTGCACCGGACAGCCATGACAAGTCACTCACCTGAGCACCGAGTGAGAGATTGTGAAAAAAACAAAACACTTGATTATATATGCAGAGGTGGTGAAACAGTGAAAATACTCTGGGGTTGCTCTAAACTTTACACACCTCAACCTCTGGTGATACTGGGACCGTCTCAAGCAGCCCTGTGACCGTCTTAACAAAGGAATCGATTTGTTGTTTCCTGCGTTCACTCAGGGTAACCTCCTTCAGCAGCTCCTCCATCTGATATTCAAGAAGAGAGAAAGGGTTTATTAAAAATATAAAAAATTCCATCATATATTCAAATGCACTAAAACTAAACTATTTATGTAATGTCACAAACTTATAAGATGACATATTGTGGACCATTTATTCTTTCTTCTTGGTAGCGTTCAAGGTACAGCCTTTTAAAAGAGAAGTAGTTTACCCATGAACATTTTTAGCATTAACAGAAATTGACTTATTCCCAAAGTATAAGTAATTATGCTTTGAAGTAAAAGTTAGTCCCCCTATGTTCTTCATACATTATGCTTTTCATTCCTGGGGCAAATTACTGCTATATTATGGAACACTATATTCCAAGATGGTTTTCAAACAAGGTACAAACCAGTTTCCTAGATTGGGCTGTTCAGGTTTGTAAACAAGTTCATATTTAATCTGGTGGAAAATTACTTTTCATATTCTAGGAATATATTCACAGCTAGATCCCAGACAAGAGTCTCACCTGCATCTTAAGAAGGCTGCAATGAAACAGGCTTTCAGCCTCTTTCAGGTGATTTAGCTCCTCAGCTGTTGGAGGTCTATATAAATCATTCCTGGACAGTTTCACTGGATGGTAGACCACTTCTTCCTCCTCTTCATTACTTCGGACCCTTTTGGGCTTAATAGGAGCAGCAAGTTGTTCCCCTTCATCATCATCACCATCATCATCTTCATGGGACAAGTCAAAGGAATGCATCTGGAAACCAAACAACAGATTAAACTTGAGCATGCAAAAAAAAAAAAGATGAATTTCAATAAAGAGTGACATAAAGAGTAATATATTGGTAATTCTACACTGAAGTCATTCCTATAAAAGTATTTTACATAAAGAGGGAGGATTATTATTAAAGATTTTCCAATACTAAGGGCAACTTAATCAAAGTTGTCCAGCAGATATTCATTCATGCATTCATTCAGGAGAGATAAGCCACAAAATGTATAAACTAAATAATCTGACTGTTCAAAGAGTGTTGTTTAAAAGTGTATATAGCTGAAAAGATGGTTTAAATAATAAACAAAAAAGGAATCAAAACATGTGCCAAGCTAACAGGGATGGACTTTGGAGAGGAACAGGTGATATTTATTTCTAAAACATTCAAAATTCATTCATTTTTTTCCCTGAATGTTAACAGAAGTAATATTTTGACAGAACAACTGAGTAACTTACCACAACATTTTAATTTACTGTGATACAACATGTGTTTGCAAAGCCAAGTAATATCACTCTCTTGTTGAATGTATCAATATCTAACATCTTAAAACAGTATTTTCGTAAAACGTTCAATGTTTATATGAGCAGAACATGTCACAAATGTATGCAAAAAGCTATCACAGAAAATAAAGATTTAAACAAGAGCACATTCCTCAGAAATAGGGTGATTTAGCCCACATACATCGCTGAATCAGGCAGTGCTTACCTCTGTTGGTTCTTCTGTTACTGCCTGCTTCTTCTTCATGTTCTAAATGTTCGTCGGAATAAAGAAAACTAATAAAACAACGCTGATAAATTCTACAGTTTAGCAAAGCTTCTTTACGCTCTCACATGTGCTAAGGGTTAATCTAACATGCTAGGTATAAACATAGTTGTCTGATTGGCTCAAAGTGCGGGAGAGTTAAAGCTGATTGGCTGATTTCCTAACATGGACTAGGGACGCTTTAACAAGATAGGTTGCACCAGCAGCGCTTCTCTGGGCGCCGCTTCCCTCTGAGGACCTGGTCTGAAAAGAAAACGTTCATGTTTGCACTAATTTCTAAGTGTATAGCACAAAAAGACAACCAGCCGGATTTGAATACTAAATCTGAAAGTATGCAATTGATGTCTTATGATTGATTGCATTTTTTATTATTTTCAATTAGGTTTCAAGTGCTGTGGAATTTCCATCAGACCGGCTTTTATAAATCTTCTTAAAACATATTTTTATAAATTAGTTTTTAGTCGTTAAACTTTGTAAAATATTTTTCACATTATCTTTGCATTTTTATCTTTAAATGTTTTTTTTTCAATCAATCTGAATAAATTGAACTTGTTAAAAGTGCTAAAGAATTTCAACAATGTTTAATATTTTTCTTTTATCATTGTTCACCTTTTTCAACTTATTATTGCCACTTTTTACTCATACTTCTCACATTATTAAGATTATTCTGGGTGACTTTCTGACTGATGTGGTTGTCTAGATCGTTCAAAGTGCAAATTATTGCCATGAATTCTACAATAGAGAAATAATAAAATCTCCCAGCTCGCACTCAGACTGGTTTTTGAATTACATTAAATGCAGCTGTTTTTCCAATGTGTATCCCATGTGTGGAATGATCAACATTATTCCCACGAGTTTGAGGAGTTGATTCTGAAAATGTATTAATGGCGCCATCTAGTGTCCGCCCTGAAATTCGTTCCATAAAAAAAAAAAAAAAAAAAAAAAAAAAAAAGAATCAAGTAGCCTATCGTGTTGCTCAATTCTGCATTTTGCCTCTGTGAATGTAAACACGTATCTTTCATATCTAAAAACATAGAAGAATGAATGATTCAGGTAATGTGATTTTTTTCATCGAAATGAAAATATCTGATTTCGTGCAGCCTTGCATTACCACGAACTGATCAAATATGTGGAGATATGTTTCACTCTTAAACAAATTTGTTTTGCTATTTAATAGATAAATGTTTGGCTTTGATATTATTCCCATGTCAGAAAAAAATATAGTCCTTTGCCAAGGAACCCTTTACAATGGAGGTCTTCGACAGGATGTGCGTGACCCTCTGGGGGTTGTGAAAGTTTTGGTTGATTTGACTTTTTTTTATATTCCCCTTGTAATTTTTCCCACTAACTGAAATGTCTTTAAATACACATTAACACGAATTCAACACATTGCAGTAAACAGATAAATGGAGGCAGAAGATATCTTTCAGTCATCAGTGCAATTCAGCGACACACTTAGACAGATTTTATTTGTCATTTTGCTTACACCAGTGTAAAACAAAAATAAATTTGGTTTGAAACAGCTCTCTGGACAATTTCATCTTTTTTAAATGTGCATCCTTGAAAAAAAAAAAAAGAAAAAAAAATATATATACATATATATAACATATGACTGTAAATTTACAGTTAAAACTTTTTTTTTATAATGATAAAATATAATAAATATAACAATGGAGAGGAGCCATACAGGAGCTCTTTCAAGCTGGGCACCGTTTCATTCACAACACCAGAAATCAGAATATATATATATATATATATATATATATATATATATATATATATATATATATATATATATATATATATATATATATATATATATATATATATATGTATATATATATATATATATTTATAAATTTAGGGGGACTCCGTTGCATTTCGCCATCAGTTTAGGGGTCCTTGGCCTGAAAAACGTTGAAGGCCCCTGCTTTACAACATAACAACCATGGAAAACCTCAAAATAGGAGGCTTTGGTATGAAAAGAGAAACTTTTTTTTTTTTTTTTTACAAGTAGTGGTCCATTTTTAATAAATTGATTTCAATAATTCTATATATTTAATATACTACTTATAGGAACAAAAACTTTTTATATATATATAAATGTATTTTAGAGGAACTAATCTTTAATATCGTTAATCTTTAATCGTTTTTTTTGCACAGCTTTGTTTATTATTTAAACATTTTGTGTAGAAAAACAGCAATGATAAATATTCTAAAGCAATTAAAATCTTGGTTATACATTGTTAAAATCAAAATGAATTTTAAATGTCCCAATGATGTAAATGTAAAATAATGTAACACTTGTACACTTTTGATTCAAAACAGCATTTCATCTTTTCTTGGTTAAAGTGTCTTAGAATGCTTCTTATTTGCCAAATCAAAAAGTCTCTTCAATAATTTCCACCACCTTTTTTAGTCGACATTTCGAAGATTTTCTGTTTTATCCAGTTTTGAGAGTTTAAATGTACACTTTATTCAGGTGGATTTGGATTAGCCTAAATTTTCCAGAAGACAGGTTTGGCTTTTAATCAAAACTGACTTGTTTATAATTGCTTTCACCTTGAAAAAAAAAAAAAAGCAACCCAAGCCCATAATGTTGTTGCCATCTTGTCTGACAGCAGATGAATAGTCCTTTCTATGAGGCACAGCGTTGTTTATGTGGTTTCATCAGCACCAAGCATGTTCTACCAGGTTTGGATGGTTCCTTTGGAAGAAAACACTCATCCCTCTTATCCAGAAATACAAATAATACAGGAGCTTCTTTTGGAACACAAGTACTTGTGAGGAATTTCTGCAGATTGGAAAATATTTTGGTTTGGCTCCTGACAGCCCGCTATCAAGGGAAAGTTGGCATTTATCCTTTTATCCATCAAAAAATGTGCTTGGTTTAAATTGTGTAAAATACAGTTAGCTACATTTCACAGTTTAGTTAGAAAGTGTTGAAACAATTTATCAGGATCTTAGGATCTTTTTAATATATAAAAAATCTGTCATTTTAAGGCAGTGTGTAAGAATTCAAGCTGTCAATAATTTGCAGAAGCAATCTTTGTTTTTTTTTTTTCCTTTTTTAATATATATAGTTCTTGAAACAAGTAAAATGAATGTTTTAAGGTGAAACATTTAGTCTAAGGACCTATATGTACAGACTTGTCAGTCAACATAACCCTATAATAACATGCATAGTCATGGGAAATAAACTTAAATCTTTTGCTACATTCCTGAATTAGAGTGTTGCTTTGTATGCATTGCAGACATATGCATCCTTTAATCTTAAGTCTGGTATTGGGTATTGTTGACTAGAGGTGGCGGATCAATGGCAACATGGCTGTCGTCAGTTTTTCTTCAAAAACCTTTCTAGTTGAGATTCTAGATTCTCCCAGAAATTCTTAGAAACAAGGTTTTCTGAGGGAGCTCCCAGTTTGCTACTTGTTTGATTTTGGTCCAGTTTTTCTTGGTCTGGGTTTTGATGGGTCATCGTCTAAAACCTCCCATTGCAGAACAGTACGGTGTCGAGGCAAACTCCGCGGATCCAGCTTTGGTATTGGTTGAGGCTCTTTTGGGGGATATCTTGGTGCAGTCTCCTCTTTACAAGCAACACTTTCTCTGTTTTTATCTTCCCCCCCCACATCCATTTTCTCCGTTGAACTGACAGCTTTTGTCAGTTGTTTTCTCGGAGAATATTTGGGGCCTTTCTTCACTTGTGGGGTCTTCTTTGGGTGAGGAGTTGCTGGGGGACATGTACCATGATCTGGCTCTGTCTGAGCTGGAACCTTGTCATTGATGACCTGAAAGAGAGATATAATCATTTTGTCACAACATCCCCCAAAGTCATGTTATTTGGACTTTATGTCAAAGGCCAAGATAAAAGTAATGGATAACAGTGAAATGGAAGGAAATGGCACATCAGTTTCAGGATATGTATAAAATAATCTGAAATATTGCGGTTTTTCTAGGTTTGGTCTTTTCCAGAATTGCTCAAACTCAGCCAGTTTGGGTAGAGACTGTGATTCTATGTTGAATTTGGATTTTAACTAGACAGTTCTAACCAATGAAGTTTGCTTTATCTATTCCAAAAAAGTTAAAAACAAACCCCTGAATTTTTTTTTTCCAAGTTTGAAGATGTTTCACTTCCCATCCAGAAAGCTTTCTCCATACAAAATATCTGCAGCAGTGTTGAGTTCCAGGCTTTATAGGGTAGCCCAACAAAAGCTTTGTTATGACTTGGAAAATATGCAAATTGAACTGAAACAGGTCCACCCCTTTGTAACGGGGAGTCGTTTAGGTCGTCATTGGCCTGAAAATTAACCCAAAACCGGCCCATGCCTCTGTAATGGGGAGTCATTAGGGTCGTTGTTGGCCTGGTTGCAATGTTTTGCCATCTGCATGGTGATGAGGATTGAGATGATTGCAGGAAGGAATCAACTCTAACGCTGCTTGCTTTATCTAAACGGTTCTGTGGTCGCCCTGGATTTTGAATCGTTTTACGGTTGAAAGGTAAAGCTTCATCCTTTTTAAGATTTCCTGGCCTCCAGGATTGCCCAATTTGCAAATTCTTATCAACTCTACACAGCCTCTTCTTCCTCCCTGACGACTCCTTTTACTGTAGGGAGTGAGTTTTTAGGGGAACAGGCAGTGCCAAATTTCAGCCATCTACATGCTACAGCTAAGGCATTTAATTCTTGTCTCACCTTTCCTGGCTCCTTCTGATTTGTTGAAACCTGCTGGGAGGTGAAATAGGTTCCTACATATATTATTGGCACACATCTTTGGGCACAGCAATCTGGAATAGCTGGCAGAGGCTCACAGTCTTCTGTTTCACACAACTCTTCTGGCGTCTCCCCTTCATCCAAGTGTTGGATTTGGCTCTCAACAGAGTTTATGAGGTAGTTCTTGGCCCAGCATACAGTGTAGGGTATAACCTTAATGGAAAAGAGCAAAAAAAAAAAAAAAAACATACAGAGATATTCAAAGAATTAGAATAAGAATTCTGAATAGATCAGTTTAAAAGTAGCTTTTAAAAAACAACCTTTAAGCAGGTATTAAATGTATTGTTAAGATTAAGTTGCTGACTGGTTGTACTGAAACAATATGAATTGTTACCTTTCTTTTCATTTCTGCTTCATAACACCTTTCCACATTGCTTAGCAGCTCGTCCATTATCTGTCTCACTATATCCTCTATATCCTCTTCCGGGAGCAGCTTATTGTCCCTCAGGGCCAAACTACTGTCAACAGCTTTATCTTTCTGCTTAGGTTTCCGAGACTGGATCCTCTTGTCAGTTGGCCTGGCCTTTTTCTTACCAGGCCTGGGAGTCCGAGCAGATCCATACATCACGGCTTATAAGGTTCTATAATGAAACACAAACAATCGGATTAAAAACAGATGGAAGTCACCCACATATACCATGCATGGGTAATAAACGCTATTGTAGTTCGACTGAAGATGAAAGCATTATGATGAATTAAACATACTGGAATGTCAACACAAATAGAAGTAAGCTATTACTGACAAATAGCCTCTTCAGAAAGCATTTATACTAGTGGATCTATATAAAGATTGATTCATTATTCATTTTTATGTAATGGAAAATCCAAAAGGGAGTATTGTGTGGGCTATAATTATGTTTATAGATTAATCTCCAATATAATAAAACCTGCTTGTGAAAGAAGGAAAGCTTAACAGGCAGTTTTTTTTTTAACATCAAAGTCACATCTACTTATTTATTTATCTACATTTTCCATAATATTTTCTTCCCCACTGCCATTAGACTGCTGAATGTTTTGTTAAAATGGGTTATTGTTTTGTATTTTATATATTTTATCATTATATATATAATATATCATATATAGGACATATAGAAAATGTTAGAACTGTAAATTTACAGTCATATGTTTATATTACTGTGTATATATATATATATATATATATATATATATATATATATATTTACTATTTTTCAAGGCTGCACTTTTAAAAAGATTAAATTGTCCAGAGAGCCGTTCCAAACGAAATTTCTTTTTGTTTTACATTTGTGTAAACAAAATGACAAATAAAATCTGTCTAAGTCTAATCTAGGAAGAGATCTTAGTTGGAATATGGAACCATAATTTATTTTGATTTGTTAAAAAAGACCGAAGCCGGTTTATTTATATGTCCGTGTTGTCAAATTCAATAGCTCGTAGTCCTCCATCGTCTAACTGTTAATTAAATTACCTTTATATAGTGTGTTTTCTGTTTCCATATAAAGTCAAAATTCATCCTGTTGATTGATTAGATTTCTGCATTGGGTATTCCTAATGGAAATGCAAGGCAGATAAGTCTGGAAATACTTTTCATATTCACCTCGACCAGTCCAGAAAAGTCCAACGACGCGTCTAGCCGTTGATACGCTTTTTACCAGAAAACCTACGGTTGCTCAGCATCAAGGATGACATCATACGCAGAGGTGCGTTGTCTCCATGGCTGCGGAGGACGCATAATCCTGCTAGTTAGCTTAAAGGCTGTTCTGGGTTTCTGCTTATAATATCTAATGGGATATGTTCCAGGATGACAGCTAAATGTGGAAATAAATTCTGAGGTTTTCGAAACAAGGGTATGAGCAGTGCCTTCCGGTTAAATGTTAGATTTTTAGCGTTTATTGGTATTTTTTTAGCAATTGTTGCTAACATAACTGGTAAGCTAAACATGGATGGCAATGCCGTTTACTCCACTCAAACATTTAACACCCTCAAAATGTACTACCTATTATTATGTGATGTTATTTATCTTCCTCATTTTCAGTTAACTGTGTTATTAAGGACTGGGGGAACACGATGTATCATAAGGAAAAGAGTATCCAGATCAAAAACAGCGCTTCCGCGCTGTATAACAACCTGAGCGTGTTGCGCATCGCTCCGAGACGCCTCACATACTTCACAGTAGTCCATGCAAACGTTGTGAACATGGTCAGCGCGTCCTGGGACGGCCTCAACTACTCCCATCGTCAGCTGCAGTCCAAAGAACCCAACGTTGCAACCAGCACCTCGCTCATCATGCAGGTCAGCCCATGCAGGGTCTCACTGTGCTTTTTCTCCCCGTTTAAGCAACTGACCAGATTGATTGATTGATTGATTGATCTCACAGGGGAGACATTTGCTCGTTACATCAGCTTTAAAAAAAGTGCATAGGATATATACAGTATATACAGTTCTTCCACATATGACAGCTTTTTAAAAAAAAAAATCTTTTTATTTTATTTTATTGTTACACATATGGTCTGTGTCAACAGAACCAATTACTTCCCACAGTTTTCTTGATAAAGGAGCTGAAAATTAGGCTTTAAACATATTGTCTTTTGATTTATGGTAACTAGTTTGAAGTTCAGCTTATATTTATTTCCCCAACAATACTTTTGGGCTCAGTTCAACCCAAGTGGGTCCCATTAAAGTTTTTTTGTTTTTTTTATTGTAAGGCCTGGAGTGGACTCTTAGTTCCCATTTAGGATGAGTAAAATGTAACTAACATACATATATTACTAACAATCTTGGCCATTATATTGAGAATCCCTGTGTAGAACGAATACTGAAAGCAAACATTCAGTCTTTCTTAAAACTCAAATAGTTCCTTCTTTCTGACCCATCAATTTATTTAATGCTTAGCCTACAGATTTATACTCTTTAACATCAATTTCATTTATTTAAAAATCTAAATAAATCATTATATTGTCAGGTTTGATGTATTTTATTATATGATATAAAGTTATTCCTCTTGCATGCTTGGTCATATTTTACAGCACACAATGCTTCTTTATATTCAACGAATCAGTGATTTATCTACTTCTTGAAACAATTCTCTTTATTTGTGGAATATTTTGAAACCTACCTATAATAAGAAGCAATTGATAAGGTAAACAAAAGATAATCCTAGGAATTTTGGAAATGCAGTTCAGTGAGGCTTTATTGTCGACAAACATCTTTTAATTTCAAGTATCTATCTTTTTTCTTACTACAGGCTGCTTTCTGTGTTTTACCCTTTCGTGAGCTGTTGGTGGTGTCGTCTCAAAAAGGCATACAGGTAAAACTCGTCTCCATCACTGGTATGCAATTTGGGTGCAGGATGTGTTAGTTATTGTTTTGATTCATGCTGAACTTGTGTCAATTATTATATTCACCTTAACTAGCAGTTCTCTCCTTAATAAATCTGATTTTTAGATGTATGAATCTGATGGCTCAATAATGGTATACTGGCATGCACTGGACACTCCTGAAACACCCACAGGTAAATGTACATTGTATGCAGTGCTGAACACTTTAGCCAAAAAATAAGTTTGCAATTATTTTAAATCAATATTGTGATTTTATTTTGATTTTCCTTTGCACTAACCCCAAATTTTAACATGTTTCACCCCAGGCTTTCGGTTTTTTAAAAGCTTGCTTGCCCAGAATCCATTGCTGCAGGACTTTACTGTAGCCTTTTTGTGGAAAAATGCCTATTTTTACTTGTATGCATGGATCTGCATGCTAGCTGCTACTCTCTCTACCTTTCTGTGTGGCAACAAACCCACTTCAAGCATTTTACCACAACCTAAAGAACTCCAATGAGAAATGTAGTGTCTAACTCTTGTTGAATTTATTGTGATTAAAATTGAGTGCCCCTGCAGTTTAAAAATAGCATTTTGTTAAATTAGGATTATATTGTAAATGCATTTAATTGGCTACCGGGGTTTAAGCTTAACCTTCTAGGAAAAACACAAAGAGTTCATTAACATCAAAAACAATAAATATTCTTTTTATATGAATATGTTTAGGCACATTTGCTGTAAATTTGCATACAGACATATTTACTTAAGTTTAAATTAAGTAAATTTGCATACAGACATGTTTACTTAAGTTTAAATTAGTTTATGCAATAAATGAGAAAATAGGTACGGAAATGGACATAGTCATTTGGATCTAGAGAAGAGTAAAATTGAGTATGGAAAAAAGGTTTTGGTATTCCGCTTTTATTAGATTTATTGGTTTGAATATAAATTTCAACAAAAAATGGCTTTTTAGGACATTTTCTACAGCGTACCATGTTTTCTTTATCCAATTCATTTTGATATAAAAGATATAAAAGACCATTTGGCTGCTTTTTTGGGGGCCTGTTGATCTTAAGCATCTTTGATTTAACAGACTTTTTCCAATCCCTTTATCACACTCATGAATCAGATGTCTGCTTCAGCACTGTCCTTTTTGGGCTTTTTGGTCAAAGTAAAAGTTAATGTTTTTTTGTGAATACCTTTCTCTGTCTAACCCCTTCATACTATTATCCAGTCAACTCTACTCAAAGAGATTAATTTTGTTTCAGAACAGGCAGTGTTTGCTCGAGGAATATCCGCTGTCTCTGACAATTATATATGTGTCGGTAAGTTCAAATATTCAGTATAATTTACTGGTAAGTAATCAGATTCTGTAAGCTTGTTATTTTGTTGTTCAGGCGTTTCATCAGGAGCAGTTCTGGTGTTTGATGTTCCAAGTAAAGGGAGCAACATTACCCTATCTGAGGTACTGGAGGAGCACAAGGAGGCTATCACTGATATTGCTTCAGAGTGTTCTGGCAGCCAGGTATGATATCTCTTTGATTTATCTTTTTAAATATGTGTTATTTTGGGGTTAATTCAACAAGTTACATAGCTAATAATCACTTTATTAGTTATATAATACTAACAACTACTTAAGAAAGCACAAATTCCGGCTCTCCTTGTTACTGTCTCCAACCATTTAGGAGTGCTTAGCTAATCTGGTCACTGCGGATGATGGCGGCAACATGTGTGTGTGGAAATCTGGGGAGGAATTTCAACTTCTTAACAAGATCCCTGGTTTGGAGTATGAATCTTAACTATTTTTGTATTTGTGTAAAAGTTGACATAAAAGTGGGTTAAATGACATTCCTTCAATGGAATCCTAACTTTAACAACTCAGTGTTTTTTTTTTACCTCTACACTAAGATGCCTGCTATAATTTTGTTTTTGAATAATATCATACCTTTTTCTCTTCTCTCTCAGCATAACCTGCTCGTCTGTAAAGCTGTGGAAAGGTACAGTGTTGGCAGGATATGGCACGGGGCAGATTCGTCTCTATGAGGCGGTTACGGGCATTCTTCACGCTGAGGTCAATGCTCATGCTCGTTGGATATACTCTCTGGACATTGCGCCCTTTTCTGGACTGGTAAGTTGCATCAAACAAATGAAATCCATGAGGCCAACACATTTATTGCAAAATAAAAGAAGTACCAAACATATGGACAGAGAAAACTGTAGTATTTGATTTTTAGTAAACATTTGTAACTGATGTTTTCCTCTGTATAAATTGTGCAAACATGGGACTTTCATTATTAATGACATGGTGTTACAGTATATGTATAAAAACTTTAAAAAAAAGAAATAGTGTCTAACTGGATTCCTACTGTTGCTTAGATAATAACTCATTTATTACAGTTCTGATTGTATATATTTTTTTCCTTGATATTTTGGTTTTAATGCATAGGGCCTGCTCCCCAGACAGTTTTACTGTCTCAAAAAAGGTGCAAACATGTTTGTGCAAACAGAGCAGATCTTTACAGAAGGTGCAAAATGATTTGCATTTGCAATCCAGCCGACAGCCTGTGTGCCTTCATCAGTGTGCAGATCATATTCTAATAACAAAACTGCACACATTCATGTATAAAGAAAATGCAAATATAAACAGTTGACATGTTCAAAGCAATTTTTCTGAATAGGAGACTGGGGTCTTTTTTCTTTAGTACCGTACTTCTGAGAGTCAGGTACAAAGTCATGCATAAAGATCTGTGGTCACAAATGAGGCATTGTTACAGTGACAGAGGATGGAGAGATCCTATGCCTATGAAAATATATTTGAACTGTAAGGAATAACAACAGCAGAATAATATTTATGAAGAAAAAGTGTGACCACAAATAAATGGAGTGGGAAGGCAGACAATCTTTATACAATCAACCCCCCCCCCTCCAAAAAAAAAGACTGATATTGAATATTGTTGTGTCTTTATATAAAAAAAATTAATATCCAAAGAGTTATTTTAAAACTAAATTTAAATAGTTAAATAAGTATTTAACTTTAGTTACCGATATTTTATTTTTTTACTTTTGTTAATGGTAGAACTTAGAGATTGGCTACCTGTTTAGTGTTCTTTAAATATTTAGTACTATATTTATTATTTTTGAAATAATAATAAGCATTATTAATTCCAGCTACTAGCTTAGAACCTCATCTTTCTTTGACTACCACCCTTAACTGCCTGTAGAAGATGCGATCTGCTCATTTTAATACGCTGAACCAAAACAGTTAGCCCGTCTTAACCAGTAGTCTTTGTAGGTCACCTGCAGCATGCCCAAATACTCAGCTTGGTTAATTAAACATGCTCATGCTGCAGAATATGACACATCTTCCCTGTACTGCTTTGTTTAAAGTGATGCAGGTTTAATAAGCTGTCATTAGCTGGTTAATTAGTCAAGTTATGGACACAAGTAAAGCCTAAAGTCAGGAGTTTAACACTCTTTCTGCTTTGAAGTTGAACTTCCTTTATTTTCACACCATATACACCATACTGTATAGTGCGTTTGGTGGTCATAAAACAGCCCAGTTTGTCTTTTTTGAGAGAAAACAAAGTTTATTAGCTTTCTTTTAGCCAACTGATTGTAATAAATCAGCAACAGGTGGGGAAGTTGCAGTGGTGCCAGACTCTCTCCTTCATATAGGTGGAAAAAACCCTGAATATTGAGGCTAATTAAGACTATTTCAAACTGTAGAAGCAGTTACATGATAATGCTTAGTTGTTTTTTCAGTGCTTTTCTATCTTTTTAAAACACGTGTTTTGTCTGTTTTGTCCAGTCTAAGTTTTCAATTAAGAATATTATCAAATCAAATTTACCATGGAAAATAATTATCTAATATCTGTAAGTGGCAAACATGCTGTAACAGTCTGTAGTAGAATTACATAATCCAAGGGATCATATTTAATCTGGGAATGGAAAATAGGTAGAAATCAATCATTTCAAGTTCATCAGCTTTAAAAACTAGATATACACAAAAACACCTGTTATGTGTAAATGGCTTCACACTAATGTGGCTTTAATTGATGGGTTGGATACCTTAAGCTGCAAATACTACATCATCACCCAATTGATATTTTTGTAAAGTAGATTTTGTAGAAGAAATATTAAATGTTCAATTTCATTTAATTGAATAGAATACTGTTAGAGGATTAAACCAAATTTGCTTTTTAACTGTGTAATGTGCAGGACTCAACACTGGGTGGAAATAGCTGCATTGATGAACACCAGCAGAGAGACACCAAGCATATTAGTTTACCACTTAGTTGTTCCTACATTTTGTTGAAGTTAAACTTTGTTTTATAATTTCACAATTCAAAGGTCATTTAAAGATACTATCTTCCCTGCTTTTCTCAAACATCCTTTATCTTTGGTTTAGCTTTTGTCTGCTGCTGAGGATTCCTTTGTCAGGGTTTGGCATCTGGCTGTAACAACGGACACCAACAGCGTGGAGGTAAAGGATCCGGAGACAAACTAGCAAACATATATCTATAAAATCAGAATCTTGTGAAAAACTTACATTTGAATATTTTCTTATTATCTGTCAGAAAATAATCAACATTACAACAAATAAAAGCTTGAAATAGTTTCATCTATAAGTAATGAATTTATATAATATTTGAGTTCATTTAGCTAAATATGTGAAATGATATCAAGCCTTTTCACCATTTTCCTTTTTTTGGATATGCCTGTATGTGTAATCACTCATCACAACTCATCATGGGTATGAATGTCATTCATTTTGGGCTTTTCACGATTTATTAGAACTGCTTTTCTTTAATCATTTAAATCTGCCTTAAACCATACGAGATCGAATGTATACATGCAAGCTCACCTTTATACGTATACCCACCATACATGTCCTCTTGCAAGTTTAACCTTTGACATAAGTAATATATAGTGTCTCATATTAGACTGGTAGTCAGGATATTTGACCACTTAATGCCACTGATGGGGTCCTCCTCCATGGATAAAATAAATGCCCCCTCGACTGTAACTAAGCTTCAGTTTGATAAATTGGCTGACAGAAAGTTGAAGGACTCTTCACAACCTAGGAATGCTACGGAGCCCCTAAAATAAACTTTTGCGAGATTCCCGCAATACTTTTGCGAGATATCGCAAAACGTTTTGTGAAACGTCGCAAAAGGTTTTCTCATGTCAGCGAAGCGGAAGTAAAACAGACACACAACAGTGGAGGCGCAAAGTGTACTGCTATGGGAGGATAATAAGCCCATGTGTCAGCTACAACCAAGGAGGATGATTTGGAGAGGTTCTTGATTTCTAGAGAATTTCCAAAAGATGACATTACACGAATGAAGAGAGACAATGTCAGTGTGCAATCCTACGGGGCCCCTAAAGGGACATGGAGGACAAAAATAAACTTTGCGAGATCTCACAAAAGTTTCTTTTTTCCCTCCATGTCCCTTTAGGAGCTCCGTAGAATGCTGTGTTCACTGTAAATTATGCTGAGTGTCTGTTTCTCCCTAGAAACTAAGACCTCAACCCTACTTAATGCTTTTGAAAGATGTTTAGAAGCCGAAACTTTGCAGTAACATGGCCAATTCAAAATAACCCCAAAGCTGCTAACAGCAGTGGTCAAACATTCAAATAAAGTTATGGTGAAAGGCCTGTACTTCTATAGTGCCTTTTTAAGTCAGAGGACTGCAAAATGCTTTACAGAAAAAAATATTCAATCATTAACCCACTGATGGCAGCCAGTTACACTATAGCCACAGGTACCCTGGGGCAAGGCTGCTCTACACAGACATCCCCGAGCTCTTTGAGTACCATCAGTAGGGGATGCAGGTGAAATGTCTTGCCCAAGGACTCAATGACTAAGATGAACACTTCATAGCACCAACCATGCAGTTGCAGGGTAAACTCCTTCATCCTGCGTCTTTGTACTAGAAGTTTGTTGGTTGCTTAATGAAAGCTATTCAAAGGGGGAAATAACCAACTATTAGTGGAGGTGTATTTTTTTAATCTAAACTTTAGTTTTTATGTGAAACCTCTGCAGATTATATTTTAAAAGATTTACCATGTAAAAAGAGCAGAGATGGGAAGTAACAAAGTACAAATACTTCGTTACTGTACTCAAGTAGATTTTTCTGATATTTTTACTTTACTACTTATTTTTATGGCTACTTTTTATTTCTGCTCCTTACATTTTTACATAAAAATATCTGTACTTTCTACTCCTTACATTTTAAAAAATTGGCTCGTTACTTTAGTTTTGAATCATTTCAATGGAGTTACCATTATTATTTTTCATGTCATCAATACCAAATTCAATCTAATTGGATGGGAATCTACGTTGCATTTGACGCACCACTACAAGATGAATCGACAGATTCGGCGGTATTCATTCGCGGCAAATCATTGCAGCTTGGTGGCGGTGGCGTTAGCATAGTAGCATGGACGACGAGATGATTGAAAATGAACACAACGGAGATCTAGTCCTATTGGCAGACATCCATTTAAAATGTAGGCAATGGCATGAAAAAAGTGGTTTCTACTTTTACTTTTATACTTTAAGTAAATTTACAAGCCTGTGCTTTGTTACTTTTACTTGAGTAAAGAAGTTTAATCAGTACTTCCACTTTTACCAGAGTATTTTTTAACACAAGTATCTGTACTTTTACTCAAGTACGGAAAGTGAGTACTTTTGCCATCTCTGAAAAAGAGTGATAAATGTTTTATTAAATTATGATTCCAATTTCAGAAAAGAAAAATACATATTTTTAAAAGCTCACAATAACTGTGACATTCATGCCCACATTAACTGTATATAAACATCTGACCAGAAAATGAATAAAAGCAGTTCTTATTTACTATTGAGTTGTTTTAATTTTTTCACTTGTAATTTTCCATCCTTTATAAACTAGAAACTTACTTTGTTTTTTCTTGACTCATTGCAGATCGCCCACTTACACAACGAATGTGTGACAGATACACAGATTTGCGGTGCTAAATTCTGTGACGGAGACGGTTATGCTTTTGCAGTGACAGGTTATGATCTGAGTGAGATCATTCGGTATGTACAGTCATAGACCATCAGAAAGGCTAAATGCATACTTGTGAATTTGATTTGTAGTATTTTTATATAAAGTGCATGTGAATATAGGCTCACTAGAATGCAACTTTTTGTGATTTTTTTGTTTGTTTGTTCTGTTGATGAATATCTGAAGCAGAATACTAAATAGCTCAGTAATGCAAAGAGTGTTTGAAGATGTGTGTATATTTCATGTATAAAGTTATGCGGGCGTAGATTTGTTCATTGTTATAAAATAAACAGTAAAAAAAATCTTTGAAAACTTATGTTGGTGTTTTGGTTTTCATTTTCAGTTAAACATCTAAACAGTAGATGGCACTCAGGTGCAAACATAAATAAGCAAGCCAGTGTTATTACAAGTTCAAACAAAGTCCACTAGAGGGCGTTCTGAAATTGAAAAAAGGTGAATATGAGAAATTCCACATTGGACTGGCTCATGGGATATCTGTCCTGGTCACAGTTCTCACATTTTCTGATATTAGCAAATATGGAGGCAATGGTGGCCTTTAAATATATTTTCTATGTGCATGTCAATCTGGATTTCATTAAAACAAAATGTCTGTTGATTTTAACTCTACATTCAGGAACCTTACAAATGTTGAAAGAAGGAATATGCAAAACTGGCTCTACTTCAAGGTTAGCCCCTCTACCACAGTCCTGGGAACTTCAAGATTGTGGAAAGCTTCTTAGTTGCTACTCAGACTCCACTCATATGGCCCCCTACATGAGAATAAGGGGGCTGCATGGTGTTCTCTAAGGTGCTACATCACCTGTTTCTATTCAACACTTTACAGTTCACCAGATCTTACGGTCAAATTGATTCAAAGTTTTCTGTCTATGGAAAACCAGCTGATTGAATCGACTCATTGACTCGAATGCAATCCCTCACACTAAGCATGCTTGTAGTGACAGTGGAGAGGAAAAACTTCCTTTTAACAGGAAGAAACCTCCAGCAGAACCAGACTCGGTGTGAGCGGCCATCTGCTGAGGCCGACTGGGGTTCAAGGAGACAGCAGAGATGCTTCCTTATGTTGCCCCTGTGTTATATATGTATAACTACAGGACTCATTGAATGCCCAATTTACCTGCCTATATCTTTTCCCTAGTATTGTTTGTGATGGACTCTTTCAGGGGCGTCTTTGGACAGCCTGCATCTTTGGTGCTGTCTGGTGAAGCAGACTTCATTTCAGCTGTCTGAGACGTTCACTCAGTTGATCATCAGTCATATATATATATATATATATATATATATATACATATCAGATGAGATGGTCTGTAGAGTTCTTGTCTTTTCTGGTTTGCAGTCAACACTGGGTACAAAACATCAGCTGATGGGCTGTTTTGAACCCACACATGGCAAGTTATGTAACTTAATTTTTTTTGTGCCAAGTGACCGTCATCCCAAAGATTTGCCAAGGCCAAATCAAACATCAACCACACTGACACAGAAGCCTTTCAGGCAGTCAATAGGGTTAAGTTTGCAATGTATCAAGCTGACTGTAGAGGCAGAAAGTGTCAATATGAGGGCCGAAACAGCTTTTACACTGATATTACATGACTAACTGGAACTGTTTAGAGATTTGTTAGAAATTATAATGCAGGTCAAATAAGAAAAAAAAAAAGAAAAACTGTCAAGATGTCTGTTTAGAGACACTGTTATGATTGGAATGGGGGAAAAAGGGCCCAGATTTTTTAGATTAAAACCACACAACAGCAGTCATGCATCCCTTGTTAACTGTGTCAACATTGCTATGTGGCTCTCTGGTGCGATAGACAGCCTTAGGGCCACTCAAGCTGCGCACTTCCACAGAACTTGTCAATAGCTGGCTCTTAGGTGTTTGAAACAGCTGAGCACACAGTGGTGTGCAGATCAAACCTCAACATAATCTGATGTCGATGTGACACAGTGGAAAAGTCATGTTTCAGCACATAATGGAACCTGACAAATATTCTCACCAACAAGTTTCAATGCATTTTAGAGCTATTTCACTGTATGTGACACAAAGTAGTGAATGGTTATGAATGAAGGAAAAGGTGGCATTGTTTTCAAAAATGGATTGCAAATATATATTTGTAAAGTCTGCAATGCATGTGTATCCACACTCTCTAAATCAGGTGTGGCCCCAATCTGGCCTCGAGGGCCGCTATCCCACAGGTTTTAGAGGTTTCCCTGCTTTAGCACAGGTGATTCTGAGGATTGCAGTACAGCAAAAGCCTGTTAATAAGCTATCACTGAAAATCGGCTAAAACCTGCAGGAAAGCAGCCCTTGAGGACCAACTTTGGGCATGCCTGCTCTGATCCAGTAAAAAATAGAGTATATGTGTGTGCTTTCAAATTAAAGAGTGAATCCACCTGTTCAGTGAAGACCTCATATATTAAAAAAGTGAAAATGTATCATCATAAAGGCTAAGGAACATACCTGATAGGTCAGAAAGCAATACTTAGAATAATCCGTGCAGTATCATTTTGTAAGAAAGCTCGCCCTCAGCTTATACAAGGAAAACAGCTTAGAGCTGTTTGGAAGATGAATAAAAGCAAACATAGAGTAATCATGAAAAACATTTTTAAATACTGCAAGACTTAAAGCTTGGTAGAAGAATGAAATTCCATCAAAACATCAACCATAAACATACAATCAGAGCTGCAAAGCAATTGTTTAGATCTAAGCATATTCATTTATCAGATTCACTCTCTCAAAGTCCATATCTAATCTCTACAAAGTTGAAAACTGATGGGTAAATATTTGTATTGTGATTAAATCACAATAAAATTATTTTACACACTGCTTGTGAAAAAGGTCAGTGGATGTGGGACAATGTGGCTATGCATCATAAGTTTGTATATAGTCAAAAAAGAAAATGTTTCTTAAATGTCTTCTTCTGCTGTTCTCATATGGAGAAACCCAGAAAGGATCTCAGGCAAGACATAGTAAACCAGCCGGATATCAGTCAACTTCCTCAGGTGTCCAGGTTTGTATGTTATGTTAGTTTCTCATGTCTCATTTAACAAAAGTAAACATCCTACTAGACAAGTCAGTTCAGGGCACGACCCAACAGTCAACCAGTTTCGGCCTAACCAGCATTGTAGAATTCCATGTTTCAAAACATGTTCATCCGTCCCGACCAGTTAGGACTAAATTGATTTTCAGGTATGGTAGGGAACTGTTTTTCTGTGCTTAACGTGATCATTGACACCTGATTTACCTAAAATAAGAATGAGTGTTTCTCATTCTGTTTTAGTGGAGAAAGAGCAGATTATCCTTTGTCTGTTCATCTTTGTTGCAGCTGCCTGGGCCTTTGTCTGTAAGCCTTTTGGTTTAGAACACCAACAAGTGGGATAAAGAGCCCAAAGCCTCACCAGCTTGCAGTTAAAGACACCACCTGTCTGTTGAAGTCATTGGAGGAACAAGTGCCTTAAAAATTTATTTTATAAAAAGATGTTCTATTTGGGACAAACTGAAAATACAAAGAGGAACAAGGCAACGCTGGAAGATATAAAATGTTTCTGCTAACTGATGGAAATGCAGGCAGTACCTAAATGTAAAATGAAAAAATGTAAACTTTTTTTTTTTTAACTATATTAAATTGTACGCTGGTCACAGTAAAACAGTAACCAAATCATAATCCAGAGATAAACTGTAGGACTCCAATATTTCTCTAACAACCACAAACTTCTCTATTTTATCAGAATTTTATGTAATAGAAGAACAAATGTGCAACATTACTGTAAAGTGAGAAGGAATGCAATAAACAGCTTTTAGTTTTGTCCAAATTTAAACAATATGGCATTTATTTTTATCCTCGTTTACTTTGATTTTCACTCCAGTACAGTACAACTAACTGCCTTATGTGCCCTGTAGTGACGTACATATAAACCGCTGGAAAACTTCACTGATTGGGGAAAATGGTCAGAGTTGGTTGGATGATAGATGGACCTAAATCTAGTGCACTCCTGGAGGAAATCTGCCAGAAGCTAGGAAAGATTTGACACACAGACAGAGGATCCCCTCCTATGAATTAAATCTCATATGCAACAATCAGAAGTTTTCTGTTGTATAATATGAACACGGAAAAGTTCAAAGACTAAACCTGGAAAATTTTTGCTGTTTAAAAGACAATGTAACATTGTTTAATGTGTTCCTCTTATATTGTCTGCTAGGTTCTGCATTCAATATTTACTAGTTTTAGCACCAGCAACATCACAAATTATGTCTACATTAATTTAACTTATTTCCAGCACCCTCTAAACTACCTACACTATACAGGGGTTGTTCTTTTTTGTTATCTTTCTGTTGACCGACTGACTGACAAATGAGACACATTATAGGTAAGAAAAAATTAAAATCTTACTTATTAAATTCTAAAATGTTACTTCCCATATAGGTTTACTTAGTTTTTATTTAATAACCTAAAGCTTAAGCTACTTAAATTTTGAATTTGTTCAGTAATATAGCCAACAGTAAACACCATATAATAGATACATTTAAAATCCAAAGACAAGTGAAACCAATAATATAGATGTTAATAAGGGCATGGAAATCTTATTTCCTCAGTCGGTTCAGGATTACTGGAATGTGGATTGACTTGGGAGACTTGTTCAGTTGGAGCAGTTTGCCAGTCCAAAACACGTGGAGACAAGGTGCAGCTGGATAGTTCTGTTTTACTGCAACTGGCTGGGATATAGCAGGGCTGCTGCTTCACCATCGGTGTGCCAAGGATGGAATGACTTAAAGCCTTATCCGTATATTCTGTTCTGTCCTATATAGCCTGTGTGTGGGTGTGTATTCTTTATTTTAATACATTGTGCGGCCAATTTTAATGGAAAATTGCACATTTTGGGGTTTGGCTGCTCCTTGTGGGGCCCAATACTTGGACCCAACATGGGGAATTGCTGTTTTTGGGTCAAGGGTCACACGGTCACACCAAGATTTTGGCCATAATCAGTGGTTTACATGTAGCTTAAGCTATGAGCTAGTTCTGGATCTCTCGTCCTTTGGTCCGAAGATTATTTCCTCAGTTTTGTTTTTATTCAGTTGTAGAAAATTATGGCGCATCCACATATTGATCTGTTCTAAGGATCTAGCCAACACTTTGATGAGTTCATAATCACCTAGTGACATTGTTATGTAAAGCTGTGTGTCGTCTGCATAGTTATGTTATCTGATGTTGTTGTTTCCTATAATCTGAGCTAAAGGGAGCATTTATTTTCAATAGGAGAGGCCCAAGAATGGAGCCTCGAGGAACCCTGCATGTGATTTTTCTGGTC